AAAACATACTAAGAGGTCATTTTAGGAAGAAGTTGTGCTTTATTGCTATTCATATCCCCGGCAGAATAAAAATGTATACTCTAGGAACTTTAGCCAAATAGTTTTTCTTACCTCCTTGGCAATGGTTTGAGCTAGTGATTTCAAAGCAAATGGACTATTTTAAAGTTCAAGAAAATACAGTACTTTGAGGGCACTCATAGTAAGGGCTCCCACTGGTTATTCGCCAAGTTCATGATAAGTCTAAATAATGATTCCATGATTAGAACATGGAATCACTATAAAAATCCTATAACTACTATTGGCATTTTTCAGTTGAGAACCCTAAGGCTAAGGGAACTTAGGTAACGCGCCTGACATCAGGAAGCGGGAGATGGGGCTGGGTGTCCGTAGCTCAGTGGTTATGAGCTCATAACCATATGCTTTGGGTCTGGTGCGTTTGAACGCAGCCTGGGCCTGCTAAACAAACAAACAAACGAAAAATAGCTAGGCACTGTGGCGGGCACTTGTAGTCCCACCTAGTAGGGAGGCTGAGGCAAGAGAATTGCTTAAGCCCAAGAGTTTGAGGTTGCCATGAGCTGTGATGTCCAGCACTTTACCGAGGGCGACATAGTAAGACTCTGTCTCAAAAAAAAAAAAAAAAAAGAAAGCGGGAAATGGGCAGTGCCCATTTACTGGTGACACCGTCCAAATTGTCAGCACCATTTTACTGCTCAGTCTTGCTGAAAATGAGAAGCATTGTAGAAGGTTTCTGAACAGAATCTTAAATTGATTTTGTTGTAAAATGACTACCAGGTTTTCCATGTTAGATTCCGTGTTCATAGTGAGACTCCGTAATGGGAATGTGCACGCTCCTTACGTGCTCTGATTCGGTGCCCAAGCTTCAGACACCATTTATATTCTCATTACTCTCAGTTTTCCATTTCCAGTACAAATCTTTCTTTCTCGTGGAGAGCTCTGATATTTCCTCTTGTGCTACATCCTTTGCTGCTGAGTATCCCCTGGTCACCAGATGGCTGAGGAGAGCAGTTGAAGGTGACCACGGTGATGTGCAGCCATGAGGTGTGTAGCACTTTTTCTGGGATGGGTTTGCAAACTTAATTGTCTGTCCTGGCATGTCAGACAGGCACCTCCATGTCTCCCCCAGCCACTCGGCTCTGCCTGGTCCCCACTGAGCCCTGGTGGCTGCAGTTGCTCATGTGCAAAGCCTGGGTCATCCTTGGCTCCTGTGTCTCTGCACAACCCACGTTGATCCATTAGGAATCCTGTTGTCTCTTCCTTCGAACCATGTCCAACATCTGACTGCTTTTCACCATTTCAACCACCACCACTTATAGGGACCACGGCAAGAGCTCCCAGCCTGGCCCCACTGCTACCTGGGGCCTGCAGCCTCTTCCCACACAGCAGGCCCAGTCTACACAGTGCCTCCCACACCGTTCAGGACAGAAGTTGCATCTTCCCAGCGGCCCACTGTTCTGACCTTGCACCCTGATTCTCTGCCTGCTCATCCTGCTCCAGCCGCATGGCCCTTCCTGATGCTCCCAGAACATCCTGGGGACATTTCTGCCCTTTGGTCTTAGCCCTGATGCTTCTTCCTCCTGGAACCTCATTCCTCCAGAATCCATCTGGCCAGTGCTCCCATCTCTGCCACTGACTGGTATCAGCATCTCAGCAAAGCTACTCTTAACCACCCTCTTTGAAACTGCACCCCCACCCCAACCTTAGCACGCCCACCCCTCTCCTGGCTCTGCTTTCCTTTTCCTGTAGTATTCATGACCTAGACCATATAATGTATTTATTAGGATTTTATTTTAATATCTGCCTCCTTCCCCTGCCAGGATGTAAACATCACTGACATCCCCGAGCTCCTAGTTCATGGAGGTGGCTATTGCATGGCCATGCTCAATATGTCACTGTCCAGCAAATGCATCCTTCCTAACTTGTCACAGTAGGCTGAGCACACCAGTGTGGACCAACAGGGAGCTTTTCCAGGGCAACATCTATGTTAAAAGCTAATAACACAGGCTCAGCACCCATAGTACAGTGGTTATGGTGCCAGCCACATACACCAAGGGTGGTGGGTTTGAACCCAGCCCAGGCCAACTAAACAACTGCAACAAAACAATAGCCAGGCATTGGGGCAGGTGCCTGTAGTCCCAGCTACTTGGGAGGTTGAGGAAAGAGAATTGCTTAAGCCCAAGAGTTTGAGGTTGCTGTGAGCTGTGACGCCACAGCACTCTACTGAGGGTGACAGAGTGAGACTCTGTCTCAAAAAAAAAAAAAAAAGCTAACAACAGAAAAGGTGGTGCTGGGACAGCAGAGCTTTAGTGCAGGTAGCAGTCACACAGAGCAGACCTCACAGAAAGAAGACCAGCACGGGACAGGGGTCTAGAGGCACAGGCTCAGATGCTGACTTGGAAGCTTGCTAATCTGGGAGAGGGAATCAATATAAGCCTCTGTAAAATGAGAAAAAAATAATGATAATAATGCTCATCTTTTAGTGTTGATTGATTTGTTGTTTATCAAAAACTTTTATAGTGCCAGGTACTGTTGTAAGTATTTTACAAATTCTGGCTCTGATCAGTCCCACAACAGACCTGTGAGTATGAACTGATATCATTCCCATTCCACAGATGTGGAAGCTTAAGCGACTCTATCAAAGGTGTGGCTGGCACAAGGTGAAGCAGAGTCTGCACCCTGCTGTGTCTCTGCCACGCTGGGTCTCTGCACACTGAAGGGTAAATAAATCAAGTCAAGTTCTTCAGAAGGCCAGAGAACAGCGTTTTGTAAACAGTCAAGATATGTTGGCTATGCTCTGTTTATTATCACTCGCCGATGACGTGCTTGGATGCTATTTTCATGCTTCAGAAACGAACATACTTACAAGAATCTGTATAAAGATGCTAAACGTGGCTCCCTAACTTGGCCCTGAGTACAAAGCCTGGGCAGCTCTGAGTGCGCAGACTCACCAGTGTGTGACTGTTAAGGCAGCGTAAGTGGCAGAAACCTCAAAGGGACACAGGCCTGTATAACTTCATGGCTACCTGTGTGCTTTGCAATTCTTCCCACATGGGCTATAGATTCTCAGTTTAATTGATTTTTAAATATCAAGAAAGTCTGCCCTTCCTACAGTGAGACGCTGAAGGAAGAGGACAACTAAGAAGCTGATGCTTGGCGAACATGCAGCCGTCCTGCCAGGCTGTGCGCACAGGAGCCCCGACCTGTGCTTTTAGTTTCTGTGGTTTCAGTTCAGAAACGGTCTATTCCTAAGTTTTAAATGTGTGTAGTTTGATGAAATCTCACACCATTGCTCTACCCTGCTGGGGTTGTGGCCTCACCCCTTCCTGAGGGCGTCCTTGCCATGGGCCCACCTGCCACTTAGTCCTGTCCTGTTGTCAGACTGGCTGTCTTGGTCTTCTCTTGTGCCTGAGGGACCCTATTTTACTTAATAGCAGCCCTCAAGCACAAGAGTAATGATGCTACTTTATATTTGTGATTATTCTATTTTATTATTAGTATCCCTGTCCAGCGCTTACTGTGCCTAATTGATCAAACTTTATCACAGGGTGAGGTATGGGAAAAGTACAGTGTACACAGGGCTCGCACGGTCTGAGTCTTCAGGTGCCTGCTGGTCCTAGACCCCCCAGTACAGGTGACACCCCATGTGCAGGTGACGCTCCGTGTGCAGGTGACGGTCCGCGTGCAGGTGATACCCACATGCAGGTGACACCCTGGGTGCATGTGACACCCTGAGTGCAGGTGACACCCCTTGTGCAGGTGATGCCCTGTGTGAGGTGACGCCCCTGTGTGAGGTGATGCCCTGTGTGAGGTGA